AGATGTTAAAATAAATAATACATTGAGGATGAGGAAGGAGAAGACCAGACACTGCCAATTCTTTCACAGAATGTCACTGGCAGTAACTGTGAGCAAGTGGGAGCATATAGCCAGTGCACAGGGAGTTGCACACAAGAAGAGAGTTACCGTTCATGCTGATTTTCATGAGCTTGTCTCAAGTCATTGAAACTAGGGGTACAGGGCAGCATATCCTGAAATAATTTGAGCAATGATGATGTATGAGTCACAGCACTGAAGTCATGAAGTGACCTCAAGAACTCAGAACATAATTATACAAGAGGAAGAATGCTGCTGTTTCCCCTGGAGACCATTATTCCTAGCAATAACAGAAAATAGGGAATTAGATTAATAGATTCATAAATGCTAGGGTCAGAAGGCACCTCAACAGATCATCAAATCCAACCCCCTGCCTGGGTATCCCCCTGCCCTGAGCATGAAAGAGTTCTGGGGTCAGATGCCCCCAGCCAGATGCCTATCCAGCCTTCTCTTAAAGACCCCCAGGGTAGGGGAGAGCACCACCTCCCTTGGAAGCCCATTCCAGATTTTTGCCACCCTTACCATGAAGAAGTTCTTCCTGATGTCTAGTCTAAATCTGCTCTCTGTCAGTTTGTGACCATTGTTCCTTGTTACCCGAAGAGGCGCCCTGGTGAACAGAGCATCTCCGATTCCTTGCTGCACCCCTGTAATGAATTTGTTGGCAGCCACAAAATCACCTGCAGAAGCTGAAGAGATCCTGGTCCCTTAGTCTTTCCTCAAAGGGCTTGACCTGCAAACCCTTAACCATACAAGTGGCCCTCCTCTGGACCCTCTGAAGGTTATCCACATCCTTCTTAAAGTATGGTGCCCACAACTGGACGCAGTACTCCAACTACATTCTGACCAATGCCGCATAGAGGGGAAGTATCACCTCCTTGATCTATTTGTCATGCATCTGTTGATGCATGATAAAGTGCGGTTAGCTTTGCTGATGACTTCATCACACTGACGACTCACGTTCATCTTGGAGTCCACTATGATTCTGAAATCCCTTTCCGCTTCTGTGCTGCTGAGAGGGTCACTTCCCAGACAGTAGATGTGCTGGATATTTTTACACCCTAGGTGCAGCACTCTGCATTTGTCCTTGTTGAACTGCATCCTATTTTGTTCTGCCCGCTTTTCCAACCTTTTCCAGTCCAGGTCTGCCTGCAATCGTTCCCTACCTCCCGGTGTGTTCATTTCACCTCACAAGTTAGTATCATCCACAAACTTGGACAGAGTACACTTCATGCCCACATCCAGGTCACCGATAAACACATTGAAGAGTACAGGTCCAAGGACCGAGCCCTGCGGGACCCCACTGCCCACATCCTTCCAGGTCGATACCAACCTATCCACTAGCACTCTCTTGGTGCAACCCCCAAGCCAATTTGCCACCCAC